TGAGGCGAGAGGGCGCGGGCGAGGGCCGGCGTGCGGAGGTCCGCGCGCCGGCTGGAGGGCTGCCGGGCAGGGGAGAAGCAGCGCCGAGCACCGCCGCGAGTCGTGAAGTCTGCCGACGGTGAAGTCGAGCCCGTCCCCCGGCAGGGGAAATATTCAAAAAAAAAGTTTTGGGACTTGCTTGCCAACGTTTGATCAGTTTTGGGGCACGTTTGGGGCAAAACATGTTTAAAACAACTACCCCAAGCGTGCTCTAACACTGCTCAAAAATAGGCAAACAAGTCCCAATACTTTGTTGGTTAAATGCCTTTTTTTAATATTCCTCCTGCAGGGGGACAGGCCCGATGTAAGCCTGCGGCTCAATCGGTCCACCTCTTGCACGGTCGTCCCTGCGACCGGATGCCCATTGACTGCCACTGTAGCAATCTCTTTGACCATCCACCGTCTGTGGGAGGGGGGAGAGAAACGTACACTTCTCGGACGCAAGATGCCCACTCTTGCGGCACTAAAGGCCCACTCCAGGGGCCCGAACGGGCCCCTGTTCTGTAGCCCTCGCTGATCCCCATGTGCCGCCCCCCCATTGCTTGCCATCGCTCGGCCGTCCACTGCCCGTGTGCGTTTTTCGATCTCGTGCGTGCGTGTTTTTTCTCGCGTGATGGTCCAAGATGCTCCTCGATGGTCCTCGCCGAGGATAGACTGCACACGTCCGAGCGATGCCCAACATGACGCGACGCACAAGACCACGACGACGACGACCACGACGTCGTCGTCGCCGTGATCTTTCGGAGGCACCGGCGGATGAGCTCGCCCAGCGCCCGCCCTTGGCGCCCCGGACAGACGCGACGGGGCGGCCCGCGCCGAGCGCGCGAGAGACCTCGAAGCTCGGAGCGCCACCGCAGCTGCAGCAGTGCGCCGCCGTGATCGCACACTCGGGGGACAGGGCGGAGGAGGAGGAGGAGGAGGAGGAGGAGGAGGAAGAGGAGGGAGGAGGAAGAGGGAGGAGGGAGGTGGCCCTGGCATCGAATCGGACCAGCCCGAGCACCGGAGAGGCAGGCCCTGCCCGAGAATCGGCAGCGGCATCACATCGGCAAGCATCGGCAGGGCCGGCCAGGCCCGACTCGGAGAGCGGCAGGGCGAGCGGCAGGGCGGGCGGCAGGTCGCAATCGGAATCGGAGGCCCAAGCCATTTTTTTGAGCTCCACGCTCTGTCCGCCACGTTTAGCGAGGCACCCTACGGCGGGAGGAAAGCGCCTGCAGGCGGAAAAAAGGTCCACCACGGCACACACCAGGGCCAAAAGGGGGCGGCCTGGTGAGCCGAAGGGCCAAGGACGGGGATGGCGATTCCACCCCGTGCCCTGACGCAAAAACGGAGGCCCAAGACCCCGCCGCGGCATCCGCAAGAAAAACACGGCCGCTCCAGTCGGGGGCGTCCAAGAGGGGGGCGTCCAAGAGGAGGGCTTGCAGATCGTGGCCCGAGGCGTGTGCGCGGACGAGGAGATGACCAAGTGATGCATCGAAACGCGAAGCTGGGGACCACGAAGCCCAGGGAGGCTCCGCGGCCCCGGCCATGATATCCACACACCCCTACAGTCGAACATGATTGGGGAGGCCGCGCGAGAGGGCACGGTACTCTTCCGATGGCCACATTCCCCCAGGGACGCAGAGGGCATGGGCCGCGAAGCACACAGCACACAAGGGTACCCTTAGTTTAAGAAGGTCAACCTGCTAATCACACTCGACTGTAGTTCTCACCCTCCTCTTTGGTCGCCCCCTAGAAAAACCGCGGCAGCTCGATGGTCCTCCTGGTGGTGTGGCTCTCCCCTCCCCGCCCTGAGATCCTGGCGTTGCAATTGTTTCGAGCCAGTTTCGGGCACCAGGACCCTCACAGATCGATCCGGCTCGGAACCTGGCGCAGAAAGCTGGGGACTCCAGGGCTCCGGTCGTGATTTGTTTGCGATGTTCCCTTGTTTTCGCGACGTTGGATCTCGGGGCGCTTGAGACATCCCCTGTCCCCAGCTCAGGGGAGGCATCGCGGAACTCCTCGCTCGAGGCGGCCCCCCGGGCGGTGGTGGCGCCGCTTTTCTTCCCTCGGACCTTTTTGGGCCAGACCACAGACAACACCACCCCACCTGCGGCCCCACGGAGCTCTTCGCGCATACCAGCAAATCTGGCGTCGGCTGCTGCGTGGTGGGCAGCTACTGGGAACCAAAACCGACCCCATCTGCGCGACGCTGGGGCGAGGTGCGCCACGCGTGCCAGGCGCGCCACGCGCGCCAGGCACCTGGGGCTCGAGCGTGCCAGGCACGCTTGGTGCGCCAGATGCGCAACGTGCTCCGCGTGCGTCAGGAGTCCCGCATACTCCCACAGGCGGATTTTGGACGAAGAATGAGAAATACTGACAAAATACTTCCAAATTGTCAACAATACATAATCAAGCATTTCGAAACATATTCTTCCTGTAGAGGGACACGCCCGACTCAACGCAACATGGAGAGCCGTAGGTGGGTGGGGTCGTTTGTTTCTTGGTCCAGACCTGGCACCGGCGCGGGACCGCTTGGACACGTCGGAAGGCGAGGGGCCTGCGACCTTGCCACCAGGCAGCTCCCTTGCAGGGGGGTCGCCGCCACACCGACGCGCCGCTCTAGGCCGAGGTGGCGCCGCGGGCAGGGTCGAGAGGCGGACACCAGAAGCAGGGAAACAAAGGAAGCAGGCCGCTTCGGAGCCAGGCCTCTCCGGGGCGTCCGCGAGGGGGCCGTCCAAGAGGGGGGCTTCACACGTCAGGGCCCGAGGCGCGTGTGCGTGCCAGAGAGAGAGAGAGAGAGAGAGAGGCAGAGAGAGAGCCAAGGGGCGTGATGTAAAAGGAATGGGGGCCATGCAATCAAGAAAGACATCGGTGCCCCGGTCATGATGTCCACACCCCTGCATATTCCTCATGCCCCCTCCTGAGCGCCCTAAGCCGATGGCTGGGCACGCCCCGGCCCCCCCCCCCGCCCAAACTCCAAGAAAAGGAATAATGACACGTCGAAACTTGTTTTTGTCCACTGGCGCCGGCGCCCCGCCAGGCTGCTGAGCCTCGGGCGCTGCCAGCACCTCCGGCGCCACAACATGGCCTACTGCATCGACCGTGGACACAAGCTCCATACGTGCATCCAGCCGTCTACCCAGACCCCCGACGACATGATTTTTCCAGAACGTCGGCCTCCCAAGGTCCACATACCCCCTCCCCGGGACCGGTCTTTCGCCCCGGGTCGTTGCTCGACGGTCCCAGGGCCTGGCGAGGGCCCCCGGAGGCTGAACATCGAGAAAAACCTCCCGTCGCGTGTTTTTCACAACGCTCGGGAGCGGCCAAGAGGGGGGTGTCCAAGGGGGCGGGGGTGCAAATCATAGCCGGCGGCATGTGCGCGGCCCAGCGGGGGGGCCAGGGACGCATGAAAACAAGAAGAGGCGCCATGAAATCTGGGGAAATATAATGGCCCACGCCATGATATCCACTCCCCCCCAGTCATGTCATCCCCCCCTCTTTGCCGCCCCCGAAGCGCGAGGGGGTCTGGGTACCACCCCCGCCCCCCGAAGGATGCGCGAGGCGTCCTCGAAGAGAGCCGCCCCGACCGCGGCCCCCAGGCCAGACGTTTTGGCTCCGAGGTCCCCCCGCCCGAGCTGCTCCGAGGTGCGCGGGCCGCGGCGGGCCCAGGGCTGCCGGGAGGGCCCAGGGCTGCCCCTGGGCTTATAGGTCGGTCCTGTCCCCCTACAGGGGGATGTTGGACGAACAATTTAAGAAATAGTCAGAGCAATACCCCCAAAATCGTCAAACATAGTAACAACAAATCATCCCCGGATTCTTTTTCAACTGTTTTTGAAGATTCCTCCCGTGGAGGGACGTGCCCGACTTAACCCTGGGGCCGACGACGACGACGTTCGGGTCGGGCGAAGGGGGGGGATAGCAAAGGGGGGGTTTGAGAATCAGCTCACGTAGCAAAGGGGGTTAGGTCGGTCCTGTCCCCCTACAGGTGAGCTCGGGAGCATCTTGGACAGGGGGCGCAGTGCCACTGCTATCGGCGTGCTCGACACGAAGGTCGCATGGCTCATTCACTGTTCTTGGGACCTCCCACCCCACAATTTCTCGCCCGAAACGCACCAACGCCCCCCTCCTGGCCTGGCATCCCCACCCCAGGAGAAGGGGATTTTGGACGAAAAATGAAAAATAGTAAAACAAATACCCCCCAAATCGTCAAATTAGTGACAAAAAATCGTCCCCGGATTATTTATTTTTACTGCTTTTGAAGATTCCTCCCGTGGAGGGACGTGCCCGACTGAACCCTGGGGCCGACGACGACGACGTGGCTCGAGGTCGCCGTCGCCATCACCAACACCAACAGGGCGAGGATATGCGAGGAGCAAGGGGGGCCTCCCTGGTGGTGTGGCCCCCCCCTCTCGCTCGAGACGTCCCCAGCCTCCAGCTCGGGGAGGCATCGTGGACCTCCTCGATGGAGGTGGGCCCCCTGGTGGTGTTGGTGTCGCATCTCCCTCCTTCGACCACCGGCAACGCCGGCGATGCACCGGGCGCTGTCGAGCGCTGGCGTGGACCGTCGGCCGTCGCCCGCCGTGGCTGTCTGTCGCCGGCCGTCTTCGACCGTCGTGGGCAGCCGTCGACCACCGTCGTCGTCATCGACCGCCGTCACCGTCGTCGTCGTCGTCGTCGCCATCGGCGACCACCAGGATAGACCATCCCAGACCTCCGACGTCGTGATTTTGTTCACAGCGCCGATCCCCAGAGGTCTGGACCCCTTCCCCGGGACTGGCTTTCGTCCTAAAAATCAGTATGAGACGGCCCCGAAGCCCTGGAAGGGCCCCCCTGGAGGACAAAAGTAGTGAAAAAGCTACCGTCGCCACTTTTTCATGACCCAAACGGGTCTGGGCCAACCATCGGCGTCGCCGCCATCGTCGTCGCCGTCGGCCGTCTGCCGTCGTCGTCGCCGGCCCGCCGCCGACGTGCCCCGCGGAGGCCTTGACCCCGAGCAGCCACGCGGCCGCCCGCAGGATGGGGCGGTCGCCGCCGGGGCGGAAGCGGGCGAGGCCCGTCTTCTTGTCGCTCAGGGACTGGGCGGGCGGGGGCGACGACGCAGGAGACGACCCAGACCCCCTCGCGCGGTGACAAGAATCACGGCGGGAGTGTTTCGTCGCTATGTTCGAAGTCTGGGGGCCCTCCATGGGCCTCGGGGCCGTCAAGAAGCGACTCAGGATGACAAGCTCAGGTCGGGCACGTCCCCCTACAGGCGGATTTTGCACGAAAAATGAAAAAAATACTCCAAGAATGCCCCCAGACAGTCAAAAATAGTCCAAACATCGTCGCCAGATTATTTTTTAAACTGCTCTTAAATATTCCTCCTGTAGAGGGACACGCCCGACTCAACACCAGGGATTCGGAAGGGGTCCAGGCCTCTGTGGGTCGACGCTGCGAAGAAGCCGCGGCGTCGGCTCTCGGGAGACGCCGGAGACGACGCCGCTGGCGGCGGCGGCAGCGACGACGTCGACGAAGGCGGTGACGAAGGCGGTGACGACGCCGATCGAAGGCGACGCCGACGGCGGCGGCGCCGTCGGCGAGGCCGGTCTTGCTGCTTCTCGGACTGGAGGAGGCAGCGGGGAGGGACCGAGGCTCAGTAGAGGCCTCCTAGATGGGGTCGGAGTAGATGGCGCCGGAGGATCGAGCCGCATCGCCGATGCATCGGCGACGCATTGGCGACGCCTTGGCGTCGGCGATGCATCGGCGACGTCGGCGTGGGGAAACACCAGCTCCACAGCGAGCCGCATCGCCGATGCATCGGCGATGCGGCGCGATCCTCCGACCCCATCTGGGAGGTCTAGATTGTTTGCGTCGCCCATCGGAGCAGGGGCAGCAGGGAGGAGGAGAGGGAGGAGGAGGAGGAGGAGGAGGAGGAGGAGGAGGAGGAGGAGGAGGAGGACGAGGAGGACGACGAGGAGGAGGAGGAGGGAGGAGCAGGAGGAGGGAGGAGCAGGGAGGAGCAGGGAGGAGCAGAGGGAGCCGGGAGGAGGGAGAGGAGGAGCAGGCAGGCCCAGACTCGAGGATCGAGCCGGTTCTGTCAAAGACGCGTTTCTTCCGGGAGCGCCCCCGGGGCCACGGAGGGAGCCTCGGACCACTACCAGCCCGGAGCATCTCCCCAGGCCTGTGCTGAGCATCGCCCCATCACGATGCCGATCTTAAGGGTCCCCTTCGCTTCTGAGGGCGCACCCCTAAGAGTAATGAAAAAATCATTACGGGAGGTTTTTCCTAATTTTCGGCCTCTGGGCCTCAGGAACGTCAAAAAACGACTCAGGATGCAAAGCCGGCCATGGGGAAGGGGTCGGGACCCCTGGGGGTCGACGTAATGAAAAAAATCATTACGTCGGGGGTCTGGGGAGGGCGCACCCCTAAGATTGTCATCGCCCTCTGGCGTGTCAATCTTCGGGACAGAGGTCAGTTCGAGGCTGGTGAGATCATGCAGACAGCCCCCCTAACAGACATCGCTTGGCGGCGCGCACAAGGGGGTGGGGGGAGGGGGGGGGCTTCTTAGAAGGAGGCTGCTTCTTAGAAGGCGCCGGCCTTACATCTATAGATGAGGCCCGCGCCTTCTAAGAAGCAAGGGTGCTTCTGAGAAGTCCTCCCCCCTCCCCCCACCCCCCTCTGCGCGTGGCCGACAGCGCCTCGAGACATCCAGGCGGGAGAGCTGGTGGGCGCCCAGGAAGCGCCCTCACCGGGCCCCGGGCCGCCCAGGCAGCCGCTCAAGATCAAGGACCGGCCACGGCGAGGGGGTCTTCTTATTCTACAGGGCAGTTTTTTAATACATATGATTTTTAGGAATATAGGATTGATAATACATGACTGATGTACGAATAAATTTATGCATGAGCTCATCGTTGCTTTTAATACTGAGCCCCTGCATTTTTAATACATGATCCGCACGCGGAGCATGCATTAAAAACGGCACTGCACAGAATCTGGAAGTTCCTGGATCGAGGATCGAGCATCGAGGGCAGCGGGCGAGGATCGAGGACTCCTTTGGAGTGCCTCCTTACCCTCCTCACTCTCGGCGCTCCTGGAGCGCCCTGGTGGCCACGGCCTGTGGCCTCGCCCCGAAGTGTCCTGGCCGGAGCGCCCCTGTGGCCGATGTCTCGAGAGGCGCGGCGGCGGCAGGCGGGGAGAGAGGGAAGGCGAGGACAATCGGCGGCGAGCGAGGGGGGAAGTGAGAGGGAGAAGGCTTATGTCGGGCGTGTCCCCCTACAGGGGGATTTTCGACGAAAAATAAAAAAAATACCCCCGAAATACTCCAAAAAGGGGGAAAACAAAAACTAAAAAAATAATCCCCTGACTATTTTTGGATTATGTTTTGACTATGTTGGGGGTATTTTTAGCTTTCGTCGAAAATCCCCGTCTAGAGGGGACAGGCCCGACTTAAGAGAAGGCCTTCTCAGACGGCTCGGAAGTTCTCCTAGCCTTCCGAGAAGTGTTCGAAGCCCTCCCCCGAAAACAACAAAGACTTCTCAGAGGGCGCGAGAGCTTCTGAGAAGTCCCGCCGCCTTCTGAGAAGGCCTTCTCCTTCTCAATTCCCCCTCTCGCTCGCCGCCGAGACAAGAGGAATCAACACTGAACCAGGAAACCGGATCGAATCGGATCCTGTATCGGGTCGGGACACATCGGCTCGGAGTCGAAATCGACCAGGATCGGTCAATCCAGAACGCACAACAGCGCCCACAGCAGGCAGGCTTCGGACCGCATCGGATCGTGGGGCCGTCGGAATCGAGCCGGATCGGGCTGGCCAAAATCGATATCAAGTCGGATCGACTGGGTCAAACCCAGAGATCCGAAGCTTTGGAAAAATTGGAGCGGGCGGTTTTTGGCCGTTTTCGGCCTCAGGGGGCCCTTGCCGGGCCTTGGGAGCGCCAAAAAACGGCTCAAAACAAAAAACTGGCCCTGGGGAAGTGGTCTGGACCTCCACGCATCGCAAACATTTGAGCAGCCGGATGTCTGCGAAGCAATCGAACATGTATCATTAGGTCGGGCCTGTCCCCCTACAGGGGGATCTTGGACGAAAAAATAAAAATAGTCAAAACATATCCCCCAAACACCCAAAACTAGTAAACAAATCGTCCCCATACTATAGTTTTGACTGGTTTTGAATACTCCTCCTGTAGAGGGACAGGCCCGAATCAAAAGTATCAAGACATCGGAAGTCTGGGGCGGATGGCGGAGAGGGAGGGACCCAGGCCGATGCGGCGCACGCGCGCGGGGCCCGGCGGTGTTTCGGGGACCGAGGTCTCTGAACGTCGTGCCTTTCTGGACTCTGAACCTTCTTGTGCGTGTCTGGGCCTTCGGAGTGTCTGTGTGGTGAAGGGGAGCGGAGCAGGGATGGGGGGGTGGATGGGGCCAGAGCCAAAGGGCGGGGAGTGGAGGACAGGAGAGCGGAGTGGATGGGAGAACCGGGGGGGAGGCGAGGGAGGTCGAGGGCTCCTCCTCCTCCTCCTCCTCTTCCTCCTCCTCTCGCCTCCGCCTCCCCCCCTCCCCTCCCCCTCCCCCTCCCCCCCCTCCCCCCCCCCCCCCCTCTCCCTCCCCCTCCCCTCCCCCTCCCCCTCTCCCTCCCCCTCCCTCCTCCTCCTCCTCCTCCTCCTCCTCCTCCTCCTCTCCTCCTCCTCCTCCTCCTCCTCCTCCTCCTCCTCCTCTCCTCCTCCTCCTCCTCCTCCTCTCCTCCTCCTCCTCCTCCCTCCTCCTCCCCCTGCCCCCCCCCTCCCCCTCCCCTCCCCCTCCTCCTCCGCCTCCGCCTCCTCTTCTTCTTCTTCCTCCTCCTCCTCCTCCTCCTCCTCCTCCTCCTCCTCCTCCTCCTCCTCTTCCTCAGACTCAGACTTCATGGAATCCACCACCCTCGAGCAATGATACATGAATCTGAACTCAGACGCATGACTGCCGAGTGGCTTAGATTCTGGGAAGGCTCGCTACGAAGCTGACGCGCGTGCGCCTGCATGGCCCGCCGCGCACGGCAACAACTCGGTGGCGCCGGCCTGCCTGCCGCCCGGGAGGGCACGCGAACCCCGAGACTGGGGCCGGCTCGCACGGCTTAGCAGGCGCCAGTTGACACTACTGCCGTCCCCTCCCCCCTCCCGCCCCCCGCGTCCCTTTCCCGTAGTCCTGGGCATTTGTTTGTTCTTTCTTTATATATTTCTCTATCTCCCTCTCTCTCTCTCTCTTTTGTTCTCTCTCTTTTCTTTCTCTCTCTCTCTCTCTCTCTCTCTCTCTTGGGGGAACCAAAAGGGTACCGAGACCGCCACTTCCCGGGCCTCTCCCGGGGTGCGTTCTGACTACCAGTCCGCGGCGAACCCAGCAGCCAGCAGGCCCCCCGAAATAGGGGAAGACGAGGCAAGGGCAGCGGCAGGGACACCTCCTCCTCCTCCTCCTCCTCCTCCTCCTCCTCTTCCTCCTCCCCCTCCTCCTCTGAGTTGTCCCTCTCTCTCTCTCTTTCTCTCTCCTCTCTTCCCTCCCCCATCCTTTCTTCCTCGGGGCGGTCTCCTCCAGCTGGTCCGGCTGGTTCCACCACAGAATTGCGTCGCCCCACCCGAAGCCCATGCCCAGGTGGTGCGCGCGCCACCTCGCCCACGGGGGCGCTGGGAGGAGGACGGCACAGAGTCCATCGTGCCATCGCCACGGAGCCCAGCGGCGAAGTGAAGAACAACGGCGACGAAGACGACGAGGGAGAAGGAACGAACGGACGAACGACCACCGCTGCGAACACCGTCCGGGCCTAGCTAAGACCAGGTGGGCGAGGACGTGGCCTCAGGAATCTGGTGTGTTTGAACAACATGCAATGCGGGGATAATGGGGGAGAAGGGGGGAGAAGGGGGGAGAGGAGGGAGGGGGGAGAGGTCCTTGGAGTCAGTGTCGGCGCGGATTTCGGCATGTTTGTGCGTGTCTCCGTGGGAGGGAGAGGGAGGGAGGGAGGGCGGGGAAAGGTCTTTGACGTCGATGTCGGCGTGATGCTCGCTCACGTGTTGGTGTAGTGGTGCTCGAGAGTTGACCACGTGATGGTGTCTTGGGCTGCACAAGTCCACGCGAAGTCGTTTGGCTGCCCATTGTCGCAAGTGCGGGCCAGGGCTGGGTGGAGGTCTGGCCTGCGCTGACGTAGGTGTGCGAGAGCTTCACTGTCCCGGCGCTTGTGCTGGCCCCCTTGTTGTCGATGGGCGTCTGGCTGCCACTACAAAGCCCTCCCCGTCCACCTGGTGGGAGCGTGGTTGGCCACTTTGGCAGCCATTCTCCATGCCTTCCTTTTGCGTGTTGTCTAGTGGAACTTCATTAGCTGCTCTGCGCGTCGCGTGGCGTGTTGGATGTATTCGACCCCAAGGTTCCCCGAGGTCCACGTCGTTGTTGTCGTCGTCGCCATCCGGCGTGCTGATGTCGACGCTGTGTCGTGTTGCGGCAGATTGCTGTCGCCGTCGTCGCTCCTGCCGTTGTCGTCGGCATCGTCGTGGGAGGTTCTGTCCGGCTCGTCGTTGTCGGTACCGTCGACGCCCGTCGTGCATTGGATGCCGCTGTTGTCTGCTGGAGGCATGCGTCGCTATGTCCGCCGGAGGTGCTGCCGAAGTGGTTCCGTGAGTGTCCACGCTCCTGCCCCGTACAGTGCCGTCGGTGTGACGGTGCTGCTGAAAAGCCCGAGTCGGTGTGCAAGTGAGTCACGTTTACTGGTCAGTCCTTGTTTGTGGGAAATGTACGATGCCCATGTGGCTCTTGTGCGATGGTGGACTTCTGTCTCCATGGGACTGTGAAAGCTGATCTGTTGGCCGAGATTGTGCGCGAGCTCACCCTGCCTGTCCTTCTCGTGAGGTTGCTCATGACTTGGGCTTTGTCTGGGTGTAGCTCGAGCCCGCGGGGTCGCGCTGCGCTGGCTACACCGTCGAGTGCGGAAGGGTATGCCTCGTCAGGAGCACGTCGTCGGCGAAGCGTAAGTTGGTGAGCGTTGAGGTGATCGTGGATCCTAGCTCCTAGCCGTACTCCTTTGCGTGTCTTCTGCCAGTCAGCGATCAATGGTGCAATGATGTGTTGCAAAAGTGCGCTTAAAGGCAAGGAGCTGAGTGGGTCGCTTGATTAGTGCCCCGCAGAAGACTGAATGGTCTGCTGGTGACTTCTGTCTGCACCGTGGCCGTTTGTCCTGTGTATAACTGCTAGAGTAGTGGAATGTACCCGTGTGGTACACACTGCGCTTCCCGTGCTGCCCAGATGCTCTTGTGATCGACAGAGTCACATGTTTTATTCAAGTCGAGCGCTGCGACCTACAGGTTCTGGTTCCACTCACGCGCGCGTTTACGTAGAACGTGAAACGTAATCAGGTGGTCGATGCCCTGGTCTGAACCCCGCCTGGTTAGCAGTCTGTCGAGAGTTCAGTTTTGGTTGGGACCGGTTGTAGAGCAGACGAGTGAAGAGTTTGTACAATAGTGGTATCGTGCAGATTATTCGGCAGTTGTGGGGAAACGCGAGATCTCCACTTGTTCGAATGACTATTATGACGCTGCTCCTCCAGCTAGATGGCGGCGGGGCCTTAAGCTGGATGGTTGTGTTGTAGAGATGGAGAAGCGCACTTTTGAGTTCTGCCGTGCCTTCTTGCAGCATCTCTGCTCGGAGGCCCTTGGTGTCGGGGGCAGTGCCAAGTCGGAGTCCTTTGATTGCTTTGCAAAGCTTTGTCATGGTGTAGGGTGGGATGTCGTCGCCAGGTCCTTTTTGCAGCGTCTGCGCTGCTTGTGGTGCTGTTGGTTGGTGGTGGGTGCTGGTGGGTGCTGCTGGTCGGTCTGGGTCGATGCTGCTTGTGGTGATGTTGATCGATGGTGGGAGGAGGAGGAGGAGGAGGAGGAGGAGGAGGAGGAGGAGGAGGAGGAGGAGGAGGAGGAGGAGGAGGAGAGGAGGAGGGGGAGGAGGAGGAGGAGGAGGAGGAGGAGGAGGAGGGAGGAGGAGGAGGAGGAGGAGGAGGAGGAGGAGAGGAGGAGGAGGAGGAGGAGGAGGAGGAGGTGGAGGAGGAGGAGGAAGAGGATGGAGGAGGAGAAGGAGGAGGAGGAGGAGGACGAGGAGGAGGAGGAGGTGGAGGAGGAGGAGGAGGAGGAGGAGGAGGAGGAAGGGGAGAGAGCACGGCGGCCGCGCCGCCGCCCCAGGAGCTGCTCCAGGGCGGGCCTCCCGTCTCCAGCCCTCGCTGGGGGAGGAAAGCACACAAGCTTACGAGGGAGGGCTTCGAGGTCGGGGTTACCAGCCTGGAGCATGTCCCCATCCCTAAGCTGGGCATCGCCTCATCGCGATGCCAATCTTAGGGATTCCCTTAGTTTTTCAGGGCAAATCCCTAAGATTGTCATCGCCTTTTGGCGTGTCAATCTTAGGGATAGGGATAAGTTCGAGGCTGGTGACAGGGAGATCGACGGCACGGTTGGCCTGCCCCCAGAACTGGCGTGCTCGTCGGATCTGCAGCAGAAGCGCGTCGAATGTGTGTGTGTGTGTGTGTGTGTGTGTGTGTGTGTGTGTGTGTGTGTGTGTGTGTGCGTGGATCCTCGAGGGTCCGGCGCATTCTTGTCCGTAGGCCCGACGCGCAAATGGATCCTGGGGGGTCACGGTCCCGCAGCCGATCACCGGCTGGACAAGCTCTGGGGCCTTTTCTGACTCCCGACCCTCGGGGATGGAGGAGCGAGGTTACAGCAGGCGCGTCTCTGAATATGGCGCCCCGGGACTCCCGGGGGGTCTCTGGGGCCACTCGGTTGCGGAGTGCCCACCGCCTCCAGAGCCTCGGGGGCGGAGGAGCGAGGTTACGGCAGGTGCGTCCTCGAACAGGGCAGCCCGAGACTCCAGTGGGATCTCTGGAGCCACTTACGGTAGGGGCCCGACCACGAGGAGCCTTCCACGAGAAACCCAACTCTGAGACCCCACGACGTCCATTGACTCTTGGTGTGGGGACGTCACGCGTTCCATGGCACTGCCATCGAAGCCCGGGAAACCCAGGGCCCCCTGGAGGCAAGCAGGGTGTTTCTTGGCATGGGCCTCCACTGCAGGGCGCCCCACGACTCCAGTGGGGTCTCTGGGGCCACTTAGTTTTAAGTCGGGCGTGTCCCCCTACAAGCGGACTTTTGACGAATGATTTAAACTATTCAAGCGATACCCCAAAATAATAACACAAATGAATTAAGAATCGTCCCCTGACTATTTTTTGACTATCTTCGAATACTCCTCCTGTAGAGGGACGGGCCAGACTTAAACTTAGTTGGAGTGCCAACTGCGTTGGCTGCCTCTGAGCGATGTTGGTCCGTGCTGCCCTTCCCGGCAGTTCCGAGGGAACGCTGCCCTCCCCGTGCTCCGAGCAGGAGATCGACTGCGGCATTGACTTGCACCCCTGCTTCGAGTTCAAGTGCATTTGTACGCTCGCAGAGTGGCCTTCGCTCGGCGGCGAGCGAGGGGGGGAAACGCGAAGGAGAAGACCTTCGCAGAAGGCGGCGGGACTTCTCAGCAGCCCTCGCGCCTTCTGACGCGTTTTTTCTGTGCATTCTGGGAGGGCTCAGAAAACTTCTCGGAAGGCCGGGGGACTTCTGAACCTTCCGAGAAGGCCTTCTCATTCTCACTTCCCTCTCTCGCTCGCCGCCGATTCACGCCGAGCGTTTTCTTAGACCGTAGTCCAGGTCCACATATACGAGCGGTCTACGAAGGAAATGGAAGCCCCAAGAGAACGCCCAGGGCCCAGTCTGGACTCTTGATCTCTTGAGCGACATCCAGAGTCCACGAAACATGGCGCTTTGTGATGACATCTCTGATGGGTGTACCCCCCCATTGTGTTTTTGCCGAGCCTGACAGAAATAGGTGTATAATGCACGTAGATCCACGATCAGTCGACGTACTCTTCGTAGATGCGACTACGAAACAGAAGGGGGTAAGTCAATTCTGCGGTCGACCTGCGACTCGAATGTGCCTCCCGACCCTCGTCCCTGTCGTTTCGGGGACGCGCCGACTCGGGTCAACCCAAACCCGGGCCAGTCGGGCCTTGCAGGATCCTGCAAGATCCTGCAGGACCCTGCAGGATCCTGCACCCCAACTCCCCCCTCCTCCTCCTCCTCCTCCTCCTCCTCCTCCTCCTCCTCCTCCTCCTGCTCCTCCTCCTCCTCCTCCTCCTCCTCCTCCTCCTCCTCCTCCTCTTCCCTCATTCCCCCACCCCTGGCCCTGCAGGATCGTGCAAGACCCGGCGCTCTGGCTGACCCCCGTTTGCACTGACCCCCGCCTCTTGAGCCCCGACATTTTGTCGGACCTGGGGCCCTGGCACCACCCCTGGACATCGAACACGTTCCCCTCTCCCCGCGGACACACAGGGCCACTGCAGAGCTGCGCGCCTCCGACCGCGGAGCCGACACACGCGGAGGACGAGGAAGGCCGATGAAGAGAGAACGGAAAGGGAGCAAAACCAGCAGAGCCCCCGAGACCCCGAATTTGACTAACAACCTCCGGAGAGTCCGGTGTATAGAGGCCTCCTGGATGGGGTCAGAGTAGATGGGTTCGGAGGATCGCGCCGCATCGGCGACGCCAGCGTGGAGAAAATCGGGCCCCAGATCCTCCGACCCCATCCACTCGGCCCCCAATTACCTGGGAGGCCTAGATTCGAGTCGTCACAGGTCTGCGCGCCAGAGAACAGACAACAAAACGAAGCGTCCAAAAGAGATTACAGTAACCTTCTACCGGATGGTGTCACACATCTCCTGCCCGACTCGCCTTGCGGCGCTACCTCGGGGCTCCCTCCCTTGAACGCGGAAGATGAGATGGGGGGCGGGCGGGGGAGGAGGAGAAACTCCTCACTCTCGCCTCTCTCCTCCCTTCTCGCTCATCGCTCCTACCACCCCCCTCCTCTTCCTCATTGTCTCCCTCCCTTTCTTTTACGCTTCCTCCTTCCTTTCCTCCCTCTTCTCCTCCACCTCCCGGGCGAGTCGTCCGAGGAGGGGAAGGGGGAGGACCACCTCGACCCGAGAACGTCCCATACCATGATTTAACGCCCTGACCATCACCTGCCCCACGCCCGCCAGACCCTTACTACTGCGTGTATATGTGGTTCCCATCGCACTTCAGGGCCACATCCCAGACATAACTTCGGGCCCCCAGAGAAGTATCGAAACAGCGCGTGCCCGACACGCTAGGGCAGTGTCGAACAAGTATCGCATCCCAGGGCCCGACACGAGAAAGCCCTACTTTCCTGGTGCTCGAACCTCTTTCTGGTGATCAAGGCTGGAGTAGGTTGGCACATCATAAACTTATTCCTCGTCTTCCCTCCTCCCTTTAATCCTTCTCCCGCGGAAGAGGAGGACGACGACGAGGAGGCAAGAAGGCTTCAGATGCTCTAGCTCGGTCCGTCTCGTCTCGCAGAGTTCGCAGGAGAGGGGACGGGGGAGCATCAGGGGCTAAGAGGAGCAGCAGCAGGAGGACGAGAAGGAGGAGCCGGAGGAGGCGAAGGCCGAAGACAGTCGGGCCGCTGGAATAGGGAGCGCACGGTAAGGAACGAGGCCCGCCGAAATAAGGAGCGCAAGGGAAGGAACGAAAAGCCCCTTTTAGGCCCCCGGAGCGCCAGCGCAGCACGGGGAGGGCCAGAGGAGCAACCACATAAGGACCAAAGGAGCCCCGAGCCGCTTTCGTACCCAAACTGTTCCTTTATTTCAGCGTGTGCGCTGTAGGCAGACGAGGAGGAGGAGGGCGAGGTGGACGAGGCGAAACGGAGGAGAATGACCCAGGAACCAGGGAGCACCCACGAGAGACGAGCACTCGATGGGCCAGCCAGTCAGGCGAGAGCCTCATTTCGAAATGAACTGTACTGGA